TTTTCCTAAAAATATTTCGTACAAAAGTTTGGAAAATATTTTGAGGATACATTGTTTATTATTTTCAGCTGAAGCATAAAATGTTTGGTAAGCAATATTGTTTCGAGAATGAACACATAGCTAGTTGAAAAATCGCTAGTCAAGCAGTTCATCCAACAGATAGATAGAAAGATAGACAATTCGTCAGATAATTAAACAGAAAATTAATTAAGTAGACAGAGAGATAGTTAAATAAATAGATAAATATAGAGATAGATAATTACGTAACTGATTACAAAGACAAATCAGTAAACAAATCGATAAATAGATAAGTAGGTGGAAAGTTGAATTAGGAATTTGGTGAGTAGATGTGTGCATAAAAAGATATATTCAAGAATGGAAATGAAATTGGAAGTCTCCGTCGCGAAAGTTTGGGTCTCGAAATGAACTAATACAGATGTGCTCTGGATTCCAAATTTTTTTATTGTAGAGAAAAGCAAATCTATATGTATCCTTTTTTCGTGTAAAACTTTCAAACGATTCAGAATTCGTTGCGATTTTTCGAACTATTTTAGGTTTGGTGTAGTTCTTCTATTTTTTTTCAGAGTACACGCTCTTTTTACTGTATAGTTTGACCATCCTATGAAATATAAGTGAGCATAGTGCTAAATGATACATCTATGTTTTGATATAATTTACGACAATTATAAAGAGCTGTGCAATAAAAACCATAAAATACATCTAAATATAAGTACTTTTTATTTCTTTTTGTCAGTATCAAAGTATTATATCTCCAATATGAATGTTTTAAATGTAGAATAAATAGAAAAAGAAAAATTCGTAGATTAAACTATTATTCTTGTTCGTCTTTTATAGTTAATATACAAAGCACATTAAAAATATATTCATATGTATTTTAAATTCGATTTTTCCTTCTCATCATAATGTTATCACTATCCTCATCAAATAATGACAACAATGATTCAAATATCGTTGATTTATTATATCATTTATGTAAAGAAAATGAAATAGAAAAAGTTCAAAATATTCTACCATATATTGATAATATAGATATTATAAATAAAATTCAAAATTCAACTGGTTCAACATGTTTGCATGTGGCATGTTATTATGGACATCAACATATGGTACAACTTTTATTAGAATATGGAGCTCTACATTCCATTAGAAATTTACGACACAATTTAACACCTTATGAAGAAGCATGTACAGATGATATCAAACAGTTGTTTGTAGAACATCGCAAATTATTTTCAAATAATGATTTTGATTATGATTATATTGAATGGTCAGTAGTAGGAGATGATCTCCTTGGAAAACGACGTGAATTTCGTCAAGCTATTGATTTATATAAAACCTATGATAATCATCATTTAATATCAAAATTATTAGCTGAAGTTATTCATTATTATTTAAATGAATATCTGATAAATGAAAGTAATGATACTGGCAATCCAGAAGATCAAATTACTCGTCAACACATTGAAACTATAGAAGCATATTTTAAAGAAGCTATAGAAAAACAAGATTATTTAACATATTTTATAAAAGCTTATACATTAACAAATTGTTTTTATAAAGTATTAAATAAACATTTGGCTCTGTATATATTACAATATTTTGATACAACAAAAGATTTTTCATCAAATTATCGTCTTGTGAATTGTCTGGTTCACATTGTTACACTCTTAATCTATCATCCCAATTTACCTCAATATCAATATCGAGGTTTATGTTATCGTGGTATGAGAATAACACAAAATGATTTAGATCAATATCTCTCAAATCAACATATATTAAATCGTTCATTTTTATCAACATCAATTGATCGTGAAGTAGCTGAAATGTTTGCTGGTGAAGGTCAACAATCGAAAATGAGATATACTCCTAAAGATCATTGTGTATTACAATATTCATGTTTATGTCAATATTTAATAAAACAAAATTCAACAGCTATTAATATACAAAGTTTATCAACAAGACCGGATGAAAAAGAAGTTTTAATTCTTCCGTTTACCGTTTTTAAAGTAATAGCAATTAAACGAAATTATCTTAATGATTCAACAGCATCAATTTCAATTGAAATTGAATTAGAAGAATGTGAAGATCCAAATGATAATAAAAATGAATCAGAAAGTAAGACGTTTTTTCTTTACGTATTTCGAAAAAAAATTAACTCTTTCAATTCCGTCAAATTTTCAGATAGTAAAACAATAAGAATAGCATCATTATCATCAACTAATGATGACATAAAAGATGTTGAAGAATATCAAAAATTCAAACAACGAAAACGTCGTCTTTATGGCATTATTGGATTTTTGGTGTTCGCTATTCTTTTGAGTTTAACTCTGGTATTAATTTTTATTTTCGTTATTCGAAAAGATTCCACGAAAAACACTGCATCCATGGCAACGCCTACCACAGAAATGGTTAATGATGATGATGATCCATTACCACAAGGTAAAAGTGAGATAATAGAAAAGCTTGCCAGCAAAGGTTCTAACAAACTAAAATATGAAATCTCCTTCCAACTGCGCCGAAATATATGTATTGTGGCTTTTAAACATATTAATTAAAATTCACTCTTTCCTTATTGACAATTAAAGCCACTGACTTTGATTTCAGGTTGTCCAGTCAAATCACTAACACTATATTTCATAGACCTCAAGGAAGCATGTAAAGATGATTTCTCAGTTAACAGATTAATAAAACTTGATAGATTTAGAGTAAACTATTCTTTGCAAAAAAAATACTAAAAAATCTATTCTCAGTTGAACAAGTACAAAACAGATATGTTTGATGTTTACTTCTTGTAGGTTGTCCCAATATATTAAAACGCTCTAGCTGGAATGCGCGTCCGTATACCAATCGTGAAAATTTAACAACATTACCGGTTACAAATATTGTTGTACACCAATTAGAAGGTTTGAATTTGATTATGAATGATCAAGATTGTATTGCTCAAATAAAAGGACTTCAAGATTATGACATGAATATAGAAAATTGGGCTGATATTGGTTATAATTTTCTTCTGTGTGATGATAGTGGCGACCAACAACAAATTTATACAGGCAGAGGATGGAAATTTACTGGTGCACATTGTATAAGTTATAATAAACGATCATTGGGTAAAAATAAATTCCTCTTTTAACTTTCTAGAGCAACAGATCTTAGATTTTTGTCAATTTGATCTTGTCATACACTCAAAAACACTTTCGTAGAATAAAAAACCCATAATGAGTTTATGAAAGTGCAACAATCTACAAACCCTTTAGGCACGTATCAATATTGCCAATGTAGCCTTGAATGTTCATCAGAATAGCCAATGTATACTTGAAGAGTACATTAATAACTTTGATGTGCGCCTGAAGCGTTTATAGATTGTTGCACTTTTAGAAACCTATTATAGGTTTTTTTTATTCTACGAAGATTTTTTTGAGTGTAGTAATTAACACCTTGTATGAATTTTGATGTGTATGGTTATAAGAGCCAGTCCATAAAAAAATCATAAAAGCTTGGAGATTCAATATTTTTGAAAACGCCTTGCATCAAAATTTATACAACTGTGGCTTCCACTACATGTCTTAAAGTGAGCAAGATTTGAAAGTTTTCATAGGGCACGCTTCTTGAGCATCGGTCATGGTTTCCGTGGACTGACTCGCAAGGGTTTTTGTTGCTGAAGTTTTCTATTGCTTCCCAAGTTAGTGTTTCGAGATTTCAAATCATGTTCTTTTGTTATTTGAAAGGTATTTGCATTATTGGCAATTATACCAGTATAAGATCTTTAAAAACATTTGAATCATTAATTCAATGTGGTATTATGAAGAATGATATTATGAAAAATTTTACACTGGTTGGACATTTTAATTCAACAAAAATTTACGAATATTATCTGGAATATTTTAGAAATGATACCGATCTTCAATATAGCAATCAAGCCAGTAAAAAACAGTTTATGTGTCCACAGTAGATGCCTAATTCGAGTTTGAATATAAATAAAAAATTTGAGAAAAAGGATTCCATGTTGAAATAGCAAAAAAAGTAAAAAAGAGTGTGGGTGAGCGTGTATGTGGAGTGTAGGTATGGGTGGGGTGTGTGGGGATGGGGATGGGTGTGGGCTGTGGGGGGTGGATGTGGATGTGTGGAATGGGTGTGGGTGTAGTGCGTTTCTTTACTCTGACTCGCACTCACAACCACGCTCACACCTACACCCACATCACATCTACGTCTACACCCTTGACAGACAAGTTGGTCATTCCATCTGAAACTCACAAAAAATTTTCACAGTAAAGTTTTCTGGTTCTTCTCAATTGCAACATACATAGATCTTCCTTGAACAAAGAAATAGAGAGGAGGTGGAATGACTGGACAGAAATTTAAGTCCATTGATCTCCTGTGATGAAGCTCGGCTAGTTCATTTCGAGATTTAGTCTGTGATAAGAGTGAAAATAATTCTATTTCAAAGCTCTGCTTGAGAGCATACATGAAATCGATAAGTTAATTAATTTTTTGAATAACTAAGATACATACCAAATATAGTCTAATGGGGATGACAAGACCTTTGTATTTGAATGGAATGATGATTTGCGTGCATGAAACATATCAATTCAATGAAAGTTTTCAAGGAATTTCTCCACGTGATCTTCTTTCTCGTTGTCAACAAGAAGAACTTTCAAGTGTTCTTGAAGTTAGTACTTACTATATGGATCGAAAATTGATGAAATCTTATTAGTAAATAAAGAGGAGTTATACTTCATTTCTGTATCAAATAAGGGACAAGAAGCTGTTTCTTGACATAACTTCTACAATAAAATTCCAGTCATCGTCACAAGCTGTATGTGACGAAAAATTGATAGAAGGGGTATTCGTGCTGATGGACCTACACTTTATTCTATTCCTTCATATCATATAATCATCAAATGTGACAATTTTCAGATAGAAGAAGTACTAGAACTGATGGAATTATGCTTTATTGAGCTTCTTCATGTCATCAATCGTATCGTTTACACACAAAACACACCCTTATATACGCAACCAAGCGAGAGAAGGATAGAAAGAGAAGAGAAGAGGAAGAAAGAAGGAGAGGAATATCCGAATAACAGGAAGAGTAATTACGAAAGAGAATGGATATATCGATGTTGTCACAATGATCTTGACCGAACAGAAGAAAGGAAGAAGATAACCGACTGCAGAAGAGAGTAATTGAGAATGGCGCAAGTTTGTCCTCTAGAGGGTGTAGGTGGGTGTGGATGTTGATCATCCTATTAGTCACATCCTCACCCACACCCACACCCATAACGATAAAGGCATGAACAAATCTCCCTTATGTTTTATTAAAACCTATTTTATATATTTTTTGTTTTGAATATACTAATGATTAAGCTGGGAATTGTTGGGCCAAAATATTTATCCATTTTTTGAACAGGGTGAGGGTGTGGGTGGGTATGGGGTGTAGGTGTCAGTGTAGATGTAGTTCTTCACATCACTTCACTCACATTCACCCACAGCCACGCTCACACCCACACCCATACCCACACCCATACCCACACCCACACCTACCCACACCACACACACACCCAAACCCACAC